GGAACCGATAGATCAAACTTGTGCACCCTACAAATCTCCTGAAACCACAACTGATTGACCAGAGGATGAAATAAGTAATGCATCTATTGAAGACATCATTTACGATCCATCGAGGTTTAGATCAAACTTGTGCACCCTACAAATCTCCTGAAACCACAACTGATTGACCAGAGGATGAAATAAGTAATGCATCTATTGAAGACATCATTTACGATCCATCGAGGTTTACATTTTAGATCTCACATTTTTGTGTAGATGGATTAGATCTGGTGGACTAGATCCGGTAGACTAGATCTAGTGGACTAGATCGGGTAGACTAGATCCAGTTGACTATATCTATTTTGTTTCCTAATTTGTTGTCTATTATACCTATATAGCAAACTAAGTCCAAATTTTTCATAAACAAACTTGTCTATAATACATATGTTAGATGGATGAACAAAAAAACCTGTCCATAATCGAGTATAGACAAAAAGCAAAGAATATCGATACAAAACTTGTCCACAACTGAAATTACAGCTGGAGAAAATGTCCCATCACATGTCAGAAAAAACTGTCTTTAGAACTCCTTCATGTAAGTTTCGATGAACCAGATCTACTGCACATATCATGTCCATAAACACAGTTGTCCATATATAGCTTTACTACTTATCTATTTTTGTTTGTTCTTCACCAGTTTAAGAAAGCTTATGCAATCCTTGCCAGAGTACAATAGCCTACTCACCCCGCGTCGAAGGACATGTCGTGGAGAAGTCCCTTGGATCCGTCAAAGTAAGCTTTCGATGGACAAGATCTACTTTACATATTTTTTCCATCATATAAAACTTTATTTGTGTCCTTTTTTACATAATTTTATAGTCTATCGACTATTACCCGCAAGATTTTAGTCTACATCCCAACCAATTAATGCTCACTGCTGGCATCCTAAATAACGTCACATCCATGCTATTTTCAAACAGAAGGAAGCTAATGTAACACCCCGACCGCCATCTCTCTAGTGGACCCCATGTACACCACCAGCCCATGGGCCCACCTTTCTTAATGGGCCTCACGTCGTCTCACTAGGCCCATGAGCCCATTAATACCCGACGGCCGGTTATCTACGTCCGGGAGGCTTAAAGACTTGTTTACCGACCCTACAAATCACCACATGATCTTTCCCTGTGTTTTGGCCTCACTCACACAGTTCCGACAACCACTTCCCGGAAGTTCACCCATCCTTTGACTACTCCAGCATAAGCATGCTTAACTGTGGAGTTCTCTTAGGACCATTGACCAAAAAGATAAGTGCACTTTTGGTTACATAGGTGGCCAAATCAATTCATTTAAACCTCTCCGCAATCGGGGTCTCACAGCTAAGCTTTCACATTCCAAAGCTGAGGGTCAAATCGTCCAGTCATCCACTAGCGTGGCCTGTTTTGAAAGGTGTTATTGATAATGTCACTTCCACAATTTTGAGTTTCCAAAATAGCAGAATACATAAAATTTCCTTTTGAGAAATGCCCTTTTTGGTGTATCACTTTTCAAAAATATCCTCATTTTCTATCTATTTTCAAAAATACCCATTTTCATATGAAAAATTATAAACTTTTATATGATTAATAAGGTACATCTAGATCATCATTACTATTGGGAGACTCGATCCAAATATTTATAATATTTTAAAAGGTTCTACAGCTTTGATAAGGGTTTTATAAGGTTTACAAAGTTTGTATAAGGTTTTTAAATAGTTTTAAAAATATATTTATATAGTATTTCTGAAATATATATATATATATATATATATATATATATATATATATTTATACATATTTAAAGATAATTTGTGTCTATATATATGAGCTACACATATTTTTTTGATAAATTTCAAATTTTTAGTTGCTTTATGAAAAAATTTGAAAGAGATGTGTTTTTAAAAAGTGGTATTGGAGGGGTATTTTTGAAATTATTTTTCATAATATTACTATTACCAAAATTTTGAAAAAACTTAATTTAGATATTATACCCTAAACATGATTATACCATTATCCTAAAATTTTTTTTTCCTAATTTCCAGTTTTTTTAAAAACTATTCTCGTATATTTTGTTTACTTTGCAATTTATTGTATTTCTTAAAATTAATTAATTATTAAAACTTTGATGGTAAAGTTCTTACAAATTAACATCAATCCAACAAAATGAGTAATAATGTCGTTGAGATAGGCATTAATAAATATTTTTAAATATAAAAGTATACAAAATTACATATTTGATAAAATATTATTTTAGAAATCATTATACTACAAATCATATTGATTTTTGTTATCCTTATTTTAAGTTAATAATGTCTCTTTTTTAGTTCCCTTTTATTCATCCCTCTTGTTTTAGCCAATGATAATGCACTATGATATATTACATTTAAATATAAGTTAAAAATTAAACATTTATAATATATTAAAAAGAAAGTAAACACATTTAATAAACATATTTATTTTGTTAAACCCATAATCTCGTTTAATTGTACCATCTAAATATTAATTATAAATAACCTTGTATAAATTGTGTTAGCTAAACTCCACGTTTTATTTATAAACCAAAATCGACATAAAACCTTGTTTAATTGTAATATCTAAACCATAATCTTCATTAAGAAATCTAGGCAACCAATAACATGTTTAGTTGTAAAAAATAAACTTTAATCCTCCTTCATAATCTAGAATAGACATATAATATCGTTTAATCGTAAATATTAAACTCTAATCTCTTTGATAAACGCAAACCAACATAGCCAAAAATTAGGTTAATAATTTAATTATTATTAAAAAAATCTGAATCATTTTTTTTTTTTTGTAATTTTCTAATTTTATCTAATGTTTTTACAAAATTAGACGTGTCACATTCCGACATCTAATGTTTTACTTGACATATATCACAATCATGTGAGTTAGTAACTCTGAAAACCAACTTTTATATAATACAATTTTTTAAGTTAACATAAAAAATAATTATAATTGGGTATTTTTTATATGTATTACTTATGTAGAATTTTTTTATAATAGCTTTACAAATTTAATTTTAAAATATTTTAATATATCTTAAATTTACACATGTCAATATCTTACTGATACAAATGACACATGTCATGTTAATGACTAACTTATTTAGATAAACTTACTGAATGAAAAAATTAAATATTATATAATATTCACGATAATGCAAATATTTTATAAGATTAACTTATAGTTGACTAACTTATTGTATTTTTTCTTTATTTGTTAATTTTTTATTCCTTGGACCTAATCTTTATAATTTTTTTTATTATTACTATCCTTTTTTCTTTAGCATTACTACTAAGTAATTATTAAATTTCCTGAATTTTTATTTTGTTCTTTCTACTTTGCAAATATTCTTTTTTTTTAAAGTAATTTATATAATTTCTTACACTAATTATCTGACACGTGTCAACATCTTATTAATTCAATTAATATGTGTTACGATCTTGTTACTGACTAACTTTGAAAACCCAACTTTATATAATACTAGTCAGTTGCTCGCGCTACGCGCGAGAATTTTATTGCTTTGTTTATGAGTAATTGATTCGTGTTTTATTTCGTACTTATTTTCTCATATTTTTTATTTTAGTTTCGATAGTAGTTGAGAAATTAAGTGTCTATTGTATGTGTAAGGATAAACAGAAGTGTTATGGAGAGTTCTAGAAAAATGTGTTATTAAGGCTCCCACCAAATATATATCTAGATAATGTTAATATTGTGGGTCCTTTTAATATGTTGGTCCAAAAGTTGAGAATGATTTGTGTATTTCGCGCGGATTGTTGTATTTTTTATTTACTAATTTGGCGATCTGTTGTTTATTATCTATTTATTTTGGTTTGTTATGTTTTTTTTTGTTTTTTTTATTTGTTATATTTGTTATTTTTTTTGTTATTTAACATACATATTAGTATAATATACTTTATACTAATTTAACATATTTATTTTATTATAATTATTATCCAGAAAGGACTTTTCAATTTTTTTTTTCAAAAAACTTGTTTACATGTGTATAAATCTTTAACTTAAATGATAAAATTGTATAAAGAAATTATTAAAATTAAGGGGGTGTTATTGGATGGAGAATTTTAAGGGATTTTAATTACCGGTGGATTTTAAAGTTCAATAGCATTTAAATACAATTAAGATGGATTTGGTGTGAAAGAGATGAAATACTTTGAAAATTGTTAGGATTGTGTTTGTACGTGTTTTAGATGTAAAATACATTAAAATCTTAAATGAAACAAAATCCATTGAAAATTGAATAACGCTTGTTTTAAAGTACTTTAAAATACATCCAACAAATGTTAAATCCAATAACAGCAGATTTTATTGTGGTTTTTAAAATACATTATTAAATAACGCTAGATTTTGAAATACATCCAAATAAATTAAAATACAAGGTTGAATAACACCCCCTAAATAGTAAAATGATGTGGATGATGTTTGAAAGGACTTTTCATATTTCTTTTTGAAAAACTTGTTTACATGTGTATAAATATTTAGATTAAATAATAAAATGATATAAATAAATTATTAAAATTAAATAATAAAATGATGTGGATGATGATTAGGATAATGAGGTGGATTAAGGAGAAGAGAATAAAGTTAGCTTTATATATATAGAAGATAAACCCAACATAGCGTGTGTTCAAAACCTAAAAGAAACGAATTTAAGATTAGTATTAATGGAAATTTAAAACACAGTAGACCAATTACACATTGCGGTAGGCTACGTATAGTGTTGCAGGCCCAAAAGCCCAACCGTCCCTGCTGAATCATGACGAAGAAAGCTCACAATAAAAGGTGAATCGGTGAGGCACAAACACAGCACATGATTACAAGGGTTTTCGTTTTTAATACACCCAGCACAAGATTAAAAGGGTTTATTAATATCTGAGGCTGAGCAATCGATTGCAAGTTTTGCTTCACGACCACGTCTCCAAGCTGTCTGAAACTCTCTGTTCAAAGATGATGAAGAGGAAAAACATAGTTGTATATCTTCCGGAGGATTTGTTGGTAGAGATACTCTATAGGGTTCCGGAGGCTTCTCTGGCACGGTTCCGATCTACTTCAAAAGAATGGAACGCTCTTATTAAAAATAATGAAAGACTTGCAAAGAAGTCTAAGATCATCATGTTGATTGATTTTAGGGTTTATTTAGCGACAATTGATGTTTACGACAACAACATTGTAAAGTTAACAAGTCACTTAAGTCTCAAAGATCCTCGTTCTACCTCTGCTGAAGAAGTCATATACTCGAAGTATTTCACTGCGACGGCTAATTGCTATGCACAACAGATGATAATAGACTGGTGCTTTGGAATCCATGTTCAGGTGAAACCAGGTGGATGATTAATCCGGTAAGTTTTTCCTTCAGGAAATCTAATTACTATGCTCTCGGTAAATCCTCTAGCAACAAGTACAAAATCTTGAGGATACGTCAACATGGAAATGTTTTTGAGGCAGATATTGTTGAGTACGAAATCTATGACTTTACCTCTAATTCTTGGAGGGTTGTGGGTGAGACTAGGGAATGGTCCATTCCATGGTTGAAGCATTGTGGCATATCTGTGAATGGAAATACTTACTGGCTTGCCTTTAGTCATATTCAATACTCGCAAAAGGATATCTTACTAAGTTTTGATTTCTCAATAGAGAGATTCGAAATTGTGTCTCTTCCAGTTGATAATTTTTCTTATTTCTATACGGCTTTATCAGTTACTAGAGAAGAGCAAAAACTTTGTCTGTTAGCTATGAGAGACGCGGGAAAAGGGCTATCCGAATTCGATGTACATGTATGGATGGCAACTAAGATTGAGAGTACTGGAGCCATAACATGGAGGAAGTTCCTAACAGTGAAACATTCTGTTTATGACCGGTTTCTTATGTTTTGTAATGGGATGAATTTCTTGGCTGATCGGGAGAATAACATATTAATGTGTCCCGGTAAACAAGCGAACTCTAAGAGCTTCTTACACATTGTGGGAAAGGATAAACATTTAGAAGTGGATCATCATGAAGCAGGATCTAAATGCGTAGTCGTTTGTTATGTTCCAACTTCAGCTCAAATCCAACAAGGTTCTTAGGTCCAGGAGAAAGGAAAGCACCAATCACGTGACTTGTAATTTTCAGTCAAGTTTATGCATTATCTATCTACATGGTGTTTGTGATATTTGATTAAAGGTACGTTTTGCTAGTGTTTAATTAGTAATGTTGGTTTTGTTTTGTTAAACGAGGATGCATTTGTCTTGATCATCAAAAGTTATTCTTTTTCGTTTATATATACGAACCACTATGACCAGTGACGATGACACTTGTGTTTCTGAACTGTGATATGATCCTAAAACTTGGACACCTTAGCTTTTGTTCCAGAATTTCAGATTGAGCATGAAGCTACAGATTAAATTATGGTCTTTTGTCACATTCACTTCCACACAACACATTGCTAATAGATTCGTGTGGCATAGTGAGACATAGGTCTTTCTGAGTAGATTAATGATTTTTGTTACATCCACTTCCATAGTTTAGAGAAACATGATAAGAAATTAAAGTCTGAAAGATGCATTTAGAGTTTATAAAAGACTTGAACACCTTGATATATATAGTGATGTTTAATAAGTAGACTTTTAGGTCCCTAAAGGCCAAGAACAACACAACCATGAAAACATATATCTTCCTCAAACCTAAGGTTGTTGTAGAGATGTGGAGAGCTAAACTAATTTTGAATCCATGAGAGAGCCAAACAATCTATATATGATGCATCTCAAAAAGTCACAACATTCTCTTTGAAGAGATCAATATTTGCAATTTTTTAATATATATAAATCTCATTACATTAGATAATTAAGAACTCCAATTTTCTATCAAACGAGTTTTATACACATATAAAGGTAATTTGTGTATATATTTATACACACATATTTGGATAAATTTCAACATTTTTAGTGGGGTTTTTGATAAAGTTTGAAAATGGGGTATTTTTAAAAAGAGATATATGAAAAGGGGTATTTTTGAAATTCCCCCAAGAATATATAGGAAATACTTATATTTCTTACACCAAATAAAGGTAAATTTGGTGATATTAGTTGTAAAAATAGCGGGTCGTATCTTTTAAAAGTATAATTTTTTTTCTTTTGTGTGTTACTAGAAATCAAAAAGAAAGTAAAACCTAAATCATGAGCACCTCTTAAGTTCTTATAAATAATTTTTATTAGATTAACGCTACGAATAGAGAATTGTTAGGGCAAGAAGTTGTATACAAGACTCTAAACCAAGAGCACAAACAGATCAACGGTTTGTTTGGAAAAGCAATAATCAAGAAGATATTAGATGATTACAACTACGCTAGAGAGATGTTTGAAGAGTACAAGATAGGAGAAAAAAAAAAGCAAGATACCAGTAAAGATGTTGCATCGGGGAATCCACGATTGTAAACTTGGAAGAAATGGTAGAGTTTTTTGTAATAAAGTAGAGATGAAAAAATAGGAGATCAAGTAATTGAACAAGTTTACAGAGAAAGAAAAACAGTTGAAGGGAATAGAAGCTAAGCATTAAAAGGAACGTCAAGCATTGCTCGAGGAGAAGATTGCAATGAAAAATATAACATATCGAAGTATGGTCAAAGAGATGAGAGAGAGAGACTGAATTCAACAATACTAAATTGATTCTAATCTCTGTCTGAAAAACTTGGGGAGAAGAACAAAAGGTATGTGGACACGGTGGATAATGTGACAAAGATGCTTTTTACGACGAATAAGTGTGTGGTAAAGATGAAAAAAGGAGAAAGAAAAGGTGGAGAAGAAGCTTGAAGGTCATGTAAGATAAAAAGAAGCATATAATGAGATGTTAAAGAATAGAGCTTGATGGACAAGTAATTGAACAAGTTTTACAGAGAAAGAAGGAGAGTTGAAAGGAATAAAAGCTAAGCATTAAGAGGAACGTTAAGCATTGCTCGAGGAGAAGATTGCAATGACAAATGAAACATATCGAGGTATGGTTAAAGAGATGAGAGAGAGAGAGTGTGAATTCAACAATACTAAATTGATTATACTCTCTGTTTGAAAAACTTGGGGAGAAGAACAAAAGGTATTTGGACACGGTGGTTAATGTGACAAAGATGTTTTTACGAAGAATAAATGTGTGGTAAAGATGAAAAAGGAGAAAGAAAAGGTGGAAAAGAAGCTTGAAGGTCATGTAAGACAAGAAGAAACAGATACTGAGATGTTGAAGGAGACATTGTTAGGATTAGGAAAAGAGAAAAGAGGAGTGATAAGACAGTTGTGTGTGTATGGATCGAACATCATAGAGACTAATGTGATTATATTTAAAACGTTTTGTCTAAAATGGTTATAAAAAGAGGACAAAGATGACCACGAATAGCAATTCAAGTAACTGGTTTTCTTTTCAGTATTTGTATACAATTTTATTTATTTTTATCAAAAATATTTGTTTATGAAAAGACCCGACCCGTTTTTTTTAATTCATTAATTAATAGTCCCATACCTACTAATTAACCTAACCGAATTAACCCAACAATAAATCATGATGCACAGCGGAAACATATTAAACCAACATCAATTAATCATAATATTAATTAATCAATCATTCAATAACCACAATTTACACCAGCAAACTAGCATGCCTCTAAACCAGGTTCCAACAACAATTAACATATTCATAAACATAACAACCGAGACCCTAAATCATCCTCCTCTCCTCGCCATGATTCCACGGATCACAATTTACCTGCACCACAAACACAATGAGATGCGTGAGTATTATCACAAATACTCAGTGAGAGCGATCCTCCCATCTACGAGCTATACACACAAGCTATGAGATAACACACACATATATAACATAAACAAACCATTCAGCAAGCTAAACATCCAATACACTTCCAATTCACCTATAAATCATCACAAACAAGTCACTCAATCCCAATCGCTTAGATAAGCTCATGGTCACACACTCACCTTAACAAGGTGATTTGAATAACAAAAACAATCAGGAAAGACTATCCTCGCGACTGCAACAGCCAAACAACGCCCTACAATAAACCACACAAACAAAAATCTCTAAGAACCAAAAGGATAGAAACAGCAGAAAACCTACAGCCGCAGAAACGAAGCCCTAAAACATAAACCAACCGTTAACTTCTTAATCCCTACGGTGAAAAGCAAGATACAGACGTCACAAAGCTGCCCACAAAATTTGGTGCCGATCAGAGAACCAATGAAATCACGATCGCACTTAGAAACTCCGCTGATCCCAATTCGCAACAGAGAAGAAACGTCTCAACAAAATGCAGATAACTCACTGAGTATTAATCCGAATTCACTTCTGTAAAAAGGAGAATCAACGTACACGCCTTTGGAACAAACCTACCAAATTCATTACCTTTCGATAAGATTTGATACGTCGGAACTCTATTCTACCAAGACGTGACGAATCTGCTTCTCTTGCTTTAAACACCAAAGCAAAGCTAACACTCTCCTTCTCACAAGTGAACATCTCCTTCTCCTTTTCTCAACTCAACTCTCAGAAACAACAGCGACAAAAAAAAGAGAGAAGAAGCGTTCTTTATAAACTAGGGTTTTTGGTTTAGTTATTATTAAACCAGGATTTACTTAAACCAATATTAATTAAACTTCCTTTGATTCAATTAAACAAATCGACCAGTTTTGGAAATCCACCGGAATTAAACCGACTCCACCCTAATTCTTATACACACTCAAGTCTCATATTATTTTCCAGAACACGGGCGTTACAATTCTCCCCCACTAACAAGGATTCGTCCTCGAATCCTTCAACATTGTCCATCAGTCGGACTCCGTGCAACCGTCCCAAACGATCTGCACTCCCACAACTGACTTCTCTGAGGCTCCTATCTAATCCATATACTCACGTTCCAGACCCTATTTGCTCATACTCACCCACTTCCCCCGTCCACAGGTCGCAACCCATAAATCATACCGGCTCGTCCTCAGGCCTCTGCCTTATACTACGGTATCCAGGAAGTCTCACCACTCCCCCCGCTCTCAGGTCGCAACCCTCAAGTCTTACCGGCTCACTATTAGGCCACCCGCCTTCTAGCTACGGTATCCGGGAAGTCTCACGCTCGCTCTCGGGTCGTCACCCTCAAACGTGCACTCGAATCGTCATCCGAGGCCATCATATCATATCCGAGCAAATAAGTCTAAACGCCCCCGAGCATATCTCTCGATTAGATATACCTCCCGTGGTCCACTTATAGCATCGCTATACTAACCACCACCCCGAGACTTTCCAAAAATATAACCGTCAAACCCGACACTTTCTATTTTTAGAAACTCGCACATATTTTTCTTACACATGACGCAACAAGTCAAATCCAAGAAATACTCACATAGTCCAAGTACAACATCACAATGTAATACCTACCAAACAATATTCCCACCTGGAATATCATCTCTACCATGACCATTCTTCAAGTCAACTCTTAAACAATCCCGTCACTCAGAGTATTACATAATAGTCTCCAACTTAACTTATCGGAAATCCATTTCCAACAAAACACCACCGAAGACCCGCGCTTCGGACTACAACCACCAAAACCACAGAACTACTTCGAGCACCACGCTCGCAACCTCTAGCCTCCTACACTGCCACGAGCAGAAACTAGGAAAACAGACGACTAGAGAAAAGACAAAACATCACAACTTATCGTGGAATCTCATTGAAGGCTCGAGAGGATGATCTAGGTCTCCATGCTCACACAGTTGATTAGACACACAAATCAATCAGCATGCAATCCACATCATCATTTTCCATCAACGAAATTCACACATCACATTAAAAATAACCAATTTACTCCCGCCCTAGAACTCTAAGGGCTCTGATACCAAATTGAAAAGACCCGACCCGTTTTTTTTTAATTCATTAATTAATAATCTCATACCTACTAATTAACCTAACCGAATTAACCCAACAATAAATCATCATGCACAGCGGAAACATATTAAACCAACATCAATTAATCATAATATCACAATTTAACTGCACCATAAACACAATGAGATGCGTGATTATTATCACAAATACTCAG